TTTAGAAGGAAACACATAAGGAGGATGGTGCCTACCATTAGTGTGCCCTCGGAAGGGGATATGGCACTGCAGAGCAATGCTACCAACAGATATACAGAGACAAACAAACAAAAGTATTGAGTAAACATCAGCAAAATTGAATCAAAATTACTGACTTCAGAAAAGGATGGACAAGATGGGCGTGTTGGTGCCCACTTTAATCCCAAACCTTACAAGGCAGGGACAGGCAAACCTGCAGGACAGCTGGAGCAACATAGTGAGACCCTGGCTCAAAGAAACAACAAAAACAAGTTAGAAAGCATTAAGGGGCTCACTTGAAATTCCTCCAAAGAGTTAAACACTTACTCCAGTTCTGTACTGGCCTATCAGAAAACTAGAGTATCCCAGTTTAAACTGTACAAGGAATATGATATTCCTACCAAGAAATGCATTTTTAAGTTGCTGACTGGCAGATCAAAGAGTTCTCAAAATGTTAGCAAATAAATGTTGATCCAAAATCAAAACATAGGGAAGAAAGATTGGTCAACAGATAAGATCAGATGTTGCTTTTGCAGAGAACCTGGATCCATCGCCAGCACTCATGTGGGGGCTCCCAATCATTCATAACTCCACGTCAAGAGAATCCTATGCTCTCTCCTGACTTCAGTAAATACCAGGCACACACATGGTTCATGTCCATATATATAGGCAAAAGATTCATGCACATTTTTTAAAAAAGTAATAACATGCTCAGGATTAACATTATGAATGCATGCCATGCTGGTGAAAAAAAAATAATACCCTCTGCCAAAGTTCAAAAGTCGAGATGTGGATAGAGCTCTGCACAAAAGCAAATGCTTTACACATACAAAAACCTTCTTCAACCAGCCAAAAATATACAAACAAAACTATCAGGCCAGAACAAAAGCTTAGCAAGGAAAAGCTCCTGTTTCCTCTCATGTCATTTACAGATGGAGTCTTTAATGGTGGTGATGGCATGGCTGGCTGCACGAGAAGGAAGCAGGCTTCTCACTGGCAACCACAGAAACCACACAAAGAAGATGAAGTGTAGTCAGGGCATAAGCACTCAAAGCCAATCCCCAGAGATTAGTTTCCTCCAGAAAGGATCTTCTTCCTAAAGGTACCATAAGCACCACAATAAAAGCCACAGCCAGAGACAAATGTTCAAATGCATCCCATCACCTGGGAGAGTTTTCATTCAACCCACTTCATTTGACACAGGCCAAGATAGTCAACTCATCAAGGAAAATCATTTAGTCTAATTTTAGAGAGTCCCATATTGGGACAGTCTCAAGACTGTCTTCTCACACCCAAGGCAATCACTTGACTATGACTTCTTGAAAAATCAAAACTGGAATTATGTCTTCCCAACATGCAATAGCACAAAATAAACATTTTCTTTTCAAAGGAGTAAGGAAAAATTGCGCCCAAGGAAGACAGAAAAGCTGCTCCTCCCTGCATTGGGCTCAAGACCCCTCTCTTACCATGACACATTCTGAGCTCACCCTGCTCGGATCATAGGGCTCACAGAGCAGAACAGAGAACAGCAGTGATGTGAAATAGTGCTCTTGTTCACTGTAAAGATTTGTTGCTCATATTGGTTTAATAAAATGCTGATTGGCCAGTAACCAGTCAGGAAGTAAGGTGAGACAACCAGACTAGGAGAATTCTGGGAAGAGGAAAGGCAGAGATGCAGTCGCCAGCCGGATGCAGAGGAGGCAAGATGAGAATGCCTTACTGAGAAAAGGTACCAAGCCACGTGGCTAAACATAGATAAGAATTATGGGTTAATTTAAGTTGTGTGTTAGTAAAAAGCCTGAGCAATAGGCCAAATAGTTTATAATTAATATGTCTCTGTGTGTTTATTTGGGATTGAATGACTGCAGGACCAGGCACAAGAGAAACTTCCATCTACATGTGGCACCCAAACTTTTGGCAAGAATTGCCACATAAAAGCTTAAAAAGAGATTCCAAACATAAGAGGACAGAGTCTAGCATGGCTTCTTGGTAGGAGCATTTTCTCAGGTGGGCTCTGTTTGCTAGAGGCAAGCAAAGGCTCACGGATCTTTTAAGGGAGGCTTCCTGACTCACCATTAATGACAAAAACCGCAAGGCTCTTTTAAGAGGCCCTGCTGCCAAACACTTAAATGGTGTTTATTAGCAGCAAGCAGCATGCTTCTTAGTGGTGGCATGAACCTAAAAAGTCCACAGAGTTGTGGCAATAAACATGGCTCCTGAAAGTACCTACACCATGAAGCTAGACTCTCAAGGAAGCCAAGGAATAGGGCAGAACCCACCACTTTAATTCTAGCCACACTGCTTAGCAGATTAAAGACTCATGTGGTCAAAAAAGCAAAGACTAATTCAGATGAAGAAAACCTCTAAACAGTTCATAGTGTATTTAAAATATACATAGGCTTAGGAGAGAAAAGAAAAAGGATAGAGAAAGTCCTTTAAAAAGAAATAGAGCTGGATATGGTGGCGCATGCCTTTAATCCCAGCACTCGGGAGGCAGAGGCAGGCAGATCTCTGTGAGTTCAAAGCCAGCCTGGTCTATAAGAGTGAGTTCCAGGACAGCCAGGACTGTCACACAGAGAAACCCCGTGTCAAAAAATGATGATGATGATGATGATGATGATGATAAAAAGAGAGAAATAAAAGCCACATAAAGATGGAAAATACACAGAGAGTCTGGATACTGTATGTTATTGTGTTGTCTTTGAATTGTTTGACTGATGAGGAAGGAGCAACAGCTGCTAACAGACATTTCATTATAAATAATGTTGCTAGATTAATCTAAACTATATATTTTGAAAATGTCTTGACTTCAAAATTTAAGTCAAAAGATATGCTACTTTGGAAAAGAGGTTTTGCTTTTGTTCCCATGGGTAATATGTGGATTCATTCTTGTATGGATAATGGTCAAGAAAAAAATGCTAAACAAAGGAGATTAGATTTAGATTTTTCTTTTCTTGTGAAAAGAAAAAGGGGGAAATGGTGTGGAATAATGTTCTTGTACACTGTAAAGATTTATCACTCGGGTGGGGAAGTGGTGGTGCATGCCTTGAATCCCAGCACTTGGGAGGCAGAGGCAGGTGGATCTCTCTGAGTTCAAGGCCAGCCTGGTCTCCAGAGAGAGTGCCAGGACAGCCCGGGCTACACAGAGACACACAGTCTTTAAAAACCAAAAAAAAAAAAAAAAAAAAAAAAAAAAAAAGATTTATCATTCATATTGGTTTAAAAAAAAAACACACTGATTGGCCAGTAGCCAGGCAGAAAGTATAGGTGGGGCTGCCAGACTAGAATTCCGGGAAGAGGAAAGGCAGAGACACAGTCACCAGCCAGATGTAGAGAAAGCAAGATGAGAATGCCTTACTGAGAAAAGGTACCAAGCTATGTGGCTAAACATAGATAAAAATTATGGGTTAATTTAAGTTGTAAAAGTTTGTTAGTAGGAAGTCTGAGCAATAGGTCAAACAGTTTGTAATTAATATAAGCCTCTGTGTGTTTATTGGCGATTGTATGGCTGCAGGACCTGGAAGGACAGAAACTTCCATCTACACAGCAGAGTCTCACTCAGATCCAGAGCTACAGGGCCTATAGCATGGCAGACCGGAAGTGCCAACCCCATTCTGACTGGCAGTCCATCAGGAGGCCCTGATTGGCTAGTGTGACTTGAGTGACAAGAGCTGCTCCCTTAGGGAATAGAGGTTTGTCAAGGGACACAGTCCTGGCTTCCACCCAGGCACAGAACTGCCACAGCCCTGCAGAGCTTGGCAGTGCAGCAGAACTTGTGCTACAAAATTGTTCCTGCAGTTATCCTGCACACACTAGACACTTCTTCCTCCTGGGCAAAGGGTCTCTAGCATACACAGACCACTCAAGTATGTAATGGAGTGAACCCCTGCCTCACAGGGAAAATGACACCCAGCCTATCCAGGTCAAATTTAAACTCCCTGGCTGACAGTCACCAGGCATCTGCAATTTCAATAAGGCTCACCTAGGATTGTTCACACCTGTCTCAGCTGCACCTTAGCAGCCCAACAGGAACTCTCTTCCAGCCTTCTAGGGTGGCACTGGCCTATCATGCCAGCATTGGGAGGTGGAAGCAGGGCATCAAAAGTTTAAACCAGTTTGGTCTATGATCCTAAATACCAACAACAGGGCCCCCAAAGGGATATGTTCAGAGTGAAGACCTGGGATGAGAAGATGAAGAGAGAAGGTTTGGGATCAGTCAGGCAGGAAACAGATCTGGAGTGCCTTAGTACACCCGAAGAAAACAAGACAAGAGTCTTACGACTTAAGTTTTTTCAAAACCCAGAATTGTTCTTGGACTGTGTGAGTTTACCTCAAATTACTCATTATTGCTTGCTGTTATTCTGAAGGGAACAGCTGCCCATTTTGGCAGCCATAACAGCCTAACACGTGCTTGCCTGACCTTGCCTTGGTCACTAGATCAGATGCCTGCCTCATAGCAAGGAACCAATCAGAAATTAGCTGGTGGTGCTATGCTTTACGGCTCTGGGTGTGCTTTACAGACAAGTGCACAGCAATGACGGGGAGAGCATAGCAACCAGTTGGCCAATCAACACAGGGCAAGTCCTCCAAGCCTGGAGGCACACCAATCCTGAGCCTGTGTGTACCCCTAGACACTCCCCCTACGCTGCCCTATAGGATCATGGTCCCGTGGCTTCTCAGGGCCTTTTCCCAGCCACCCGCTATGGTGGATGGATGAAAGACCCGAGCTAACATGGGGTTAGCTCGGTAAACAACTGCAATAAAGCCTCCTGCTGTTTGCATCAAGCTTTCACCTCCGCCTGGTGATTGGGGTTGCCGAGGTCCTGGGCTGACATCCTGGGGTCCTGAACCTCCGGGGGTCTTTCAATTCAATTAAATGTTTATGCCTCTGTGGAAAACATGTTTTTGCCATGTGTGACATGTCCTTGTGATTGTATACAGCTGGAACTCATGAGAACTTCACTCATGTGACCTTTCTTTATTTGTAAGTTTTTGGAGACAGCTTTCTTTGTGTAACCTTGACTGTCCTCATGTGACCTCTCTTAACCCTCAGACATTATACCATCAGGGGCTCTGAATAAAGTTGGCTGTTGCATTAGGTTTTAATTCAGCTTCATTGTCCCAGGTCTCACTGCCTGTAGAGTGATGGCAGAGATCCACCCTGACCACGCCCCCAGCCACTCACCAGGAAATTCTAGGCAGGGGGTCCGCCCTGACCATGCTCTGAGCCCCTCACCTGGGGATTCTAGGCGGGGACTTTACCCCTGAACCACAACTATTCCCTGCTTTCTTTAAATATTGCATTGCACTGTTTATTGCTGTAACTGTGTTTTGGGTTTAGAATATCAGACTATCTTCTGAGGCCCCTGCCCTTACACTGGTTCTGTCTCCCTCTTACAGTAAGCTTATACTTCTAGGTGGAGGGCTGTGATGTAGGTGGTATATTGGGAGTTGTAAAGTATCTGATGGGGAGCGCTGGGAGCCATTGGTAAGGTCCCAGGCTGGTCTCCCATTCATCACACTGGGGGATGGAGAAGGTGGTCTCTGAGGCTTCAGCTTGCAGAGGTGAGGAGTGGAGGCTGAACAACTGAGCTGTGTCCTCAGCGGCCCTGAGCCTGCAGCCGCTGCATCTGCAGGATCTGGCTGAGAATGCACTGGACGTCCTCATCCATCTGTCCCTGTGGTGAGATAGGGGTTGACAGGGGCAGAGAAAAACCCTGGTGCACCAGCTAGTTGCTCCCCTGTGCCCTAGAAATCCCCCTACTCAAACCCAAGGGAGTCAACACTGCTCGAGACAGGTCTGTACACAGGGATGTTCCCAGAAGCCACAAGTCCATCCCAGAACAGAAGGGGAAATGGTCCCAGGTGGTGGCAGAGGAGTCATGAAGCTGGGTTGGCACCCTGAGACGGAGCCAGGAGGCTGGGGCTCACCTGAATGGCACACAGGAGATGAGAGCGGTATAAAGCCACCACAGCACCATGCTCCCGGGCCTTCTCCTGTGGACAAGGGGAAGGGAGAGGCAAAGGGATCAGACGCTCAGGCTCATCCTTGGCTATAAAGTGAGGTCATTTGAGGTCAGCCTGGGCCACATGAGACCCTGCCTCATAGGAAAGATGGGTAGGGAGGGGAGGGGAGGGGAGGGGAGAAGAGGAAAGGGGGGAAGAGGAAAGGCGGAGAAGGGAGGGGAAGGGAGAGGGACAGAAGGGGAATTTGGAAGGGGAGACCACCCACAGCAAGACATACCCACATGTCTCCACCTAAGCCAAAACCCCATGTTTACTGACTACTGAAGTCCGAGTCAGGGAAGTGACACTGAGGCACCCTGACCAGCCTGGATCCTGCCAGCCATCCCTGTCTGTACCCTGACTACTCCACCTGTGGCTCCCATCAACCCTCCCCTGTACAGAGTGGTACCTCCATTCGCTGCTGCAAGGCTGTCACCTGGCCTCGCAGGGCCTCCTCCTCCTTGGAGCTGGCAGGGGCTGCCTGCTGCGCCTTCAGAGACTCCTTCAGTGTGAAGACTTCTTTGGACAGCTCTGTGATCTGCAGGGTGGGGGACGCTGTGAGTGACCAGGCAGAGACGAGAGACCTCTGCACCTCTGTAGGGCAGCTTTGTAAAAGGTCCGTGATTTGAGCTGACTGGGAACTTGTATTTGTACAACTGAAGGACTGAAAACAGTCCTCGAGTTTTTAAATGTTTGGAGGAGAAAAAAAGAAACCCAAAGGAAGACCTATTTTGGTGACCCTTGAAGGGATTCCTAATCACATTTGGGTGTTCATTAAAGTTTTATTGACACATGTCCCTGTCTGCTCACAGCAACAGGAAGCAGACAACTGTCTTTTTGGCCCCTCATAGAAAACACCCAGCCTCCCCTGCTCTTCCGGTCCTTGCTGGCCCATCTGGGGAGCAGTAGAGTCTGGAGCTGCCTGGCTATCCTTGCTCAGTTAACCCATAAACACAACTTAAATTTTCATCTCTGGTTATGGGATGCCCAGTGTTGACTTGTGACCCCCCCCACAGGCACGTGTGCACAAAGAGCACACAGAAAACGGTACAAGTGGTTGCCAGTGAGATGCCCATGGGGGTACCGGCACATGCCGCCAAGCTGTTTCTCTTCCTGAGTTCAATCTCTGGGACCCACATGGTTGAAGGAGAAAATGGATGTAGGCAAGTTGTCCTCTGAACCCCACATGCATGCCCTAACCCCCAACTAAAGAAATACATATAATTTCAAAACCTTCTAAACCTTACAGATGGGAAACCTGGGTTCAAATCCCAGCTTACGATCCATTTAGTGGCTGTGTGACCTTGGTCAGTGGACTTACCTCTCTGTGCCTGTTACTTCCAATGGGTCTAATTAGAGAGCAGAAAGTGAACCACGCCAGTTACCATGGTTACCCTGACAACCAGAGTGGCACTAGCTGAAAGTGTCGCACTTTCCCATGGGATAAGCAGGCTGGTTTCTCAAGACCTGGCCTTCAGGGGGGGGGTCTTCAGTTCTGTGTAACTCCGGCTGAGTGGGCCCCAACAGTGAACAGGAGGGAACCCACCTTCTTGTCCTTCTCCTTGGCCTTGTCCAGGGCCTCCTGGGCACGGCTCTGGGCCTGGCGTGCCCTCTCGGCCTCTGTACGAAGCCCTCGGAGCTGCTGCTCAGCCGTGGCCAGCTGGGCCTCGGCCGCGTGCCTCTCGCTCTTCATAAACAATGCCTCACGCTGCACCTGTGGCCCAAGTCCACACGTGACTCTCGGGACACTTAGACCCAAAGAAGCTTGGATCCAGGGGTTCTCCCCACCCTCCCACAGGGCTGATAGCTTTTCCACCTCCAGGATGGTTCTGGACTCCCACCCGACCCCAGGGGCATTCTGGTCCAGCCGTGCACCTCTGGCTACTAGGTGTGTGGCCCTGGACAGGCAGCCTCTGTTCTAGCTTTCTGAGTCGGTGGTGCAGGCCTGAGATCCAGGTACTCAGGAGGCTGAGGTAGGAGGATCAAAGGCAGCCTAGGCAACTGTGAGAAACTCTGTCTCAAAACACACACACTACCCCTTGTAAGGAATTGTTTTGTTTGTTTGAGCTGTTTTGTTGAGACTGGATTTCTGTGTGCAGCTGTGCACCACCAAGTCGGCTAGGTAGTTTTCAGCTCACATGGTTCTCAGCGTGTAAAGCGCTAACCCAGCATGCATCAATGCATCAGGCCGCTGGATAATCAGGGAGGTGGAGGCAGGAGGGTCAGGAGTTCAAGGTCAGTCTGGACTACTTGAGTCTAAGAACAAGTGTCGTGCGCCCCCCCCCCGCCCAAGAAAAAGGAGGGGGAAAAAGGCCAGGGCTTGGGGATGGCTCAGCGGGTAAAGGTGCTTGCAGCAAAGCCTTAGTTTACAGCAGTCTTAGTTTGGTCCTCAGGACACACATGGCGGAAGGAGATGACTGGGTCCCACAGACTGCTGGCTGGCATTCTCACAACGCCATGTGTGTGCACACACATAAGGAAAGGATAATAGATTAAATCTAAATAGAAATATTAAGGGCTGAAGGGATGGCAAAGGGACTAGAGCAGCGGCTGCTCTTGCACAAGACCTAGGTTCGGTTCCAAGCACCCACGTTGCGGCTCAAGTCCGCAAGTCCAAAGTTGGGCAGATAGGACGCCGTCTTCGGGGCCTCGAGGGCACTGAGCATGTGCACCGGATGCGGAAATGTACCGTGAGGGCTGCCGTGGATTCCAGGGCGGTGGCCTGCGCCCCCGTGGCCTCTGCTGCCGTGGATTCCAGGGCGGTGGCCTGCGCCCCCGTGGCCTCTGCTGCCGTGGATTCCAGGGCGGTGGCCTGCGCCCCCGTGGCCTCTGCTGCCGTGGATTCCAGGGCGGTGGCCTGCGCCCCCGTGGCCTCTGCTGCCGTGGATTCCAGGGCGGTGGCCTGCGCCCCCGTGGCCTCTGCTGCCGTGGATTCCAGGGCGGTGGCCTGCGCCCCCGTGGCCTCTGCTGCCGTGGATTCCAGGGCGGTGGCCTGCGCCCCCGTGGCCTCTGCTGCCGTGGATTCCAGGGCGGTGGCCTGCGCCCCCGTGGCCTCTGCTGCCGTGGATTCCAGGGCGGTGGCCTGCGCCCCCGTGGCCTCTGCTGCCGTGGATTCCAGGGCGGTGGCCTGCGCCCCCGTGGCCTCTGCTGCCGTGGATTCCAGGGCGGTGGCCTGCGCCCCCGTGGCCTCTGCTGCCGTGGATTCCAGGGCGGTGGCCTGCGCCCCCGTGGCCTCTGCTGCCGTGGATTCCAGGGCGGTGGCCTGCGCCCCCGTGGCCTCTGCTGCCGTGGATTCCAGGGCGGTGGCCTGCGCCCCCGTGGCCTCTGCTGCCGTGGATTCCAGGGCGGTGGCCTGCGCCCCCGTGGCCTCTGCTGCCGTGGATTCCAGGGCGGTGGCCTGCGCCCCCGTGGCCTCTGCTGCCGTGGATTCCAGGGTGGTGGGCTCCCCCCCCGTGGCCTGGCCTCCCTGACCCTCTGTCATGGTGGCCCCAGTCTCTGTGGCCTGCACTCCTATGACCTTCACTCCTATGACCTCTGCCACTGTCGCCTGCACTCCCGTGTGCTTCACTGCCGTGGCCTCTGCTCCTGTGGTCTGAATTCCGGTATCCCGCAAGTCTGTGGCCCTCACTGTTGTGGCCTCCACGTCTCTAATCCCTGCACCCGGGAGCCCCTCCTGCACCACACGCTCTCCGTCAGCCTCCATGCCTGGATTCTCTTTCCCTCCTGTGGCTTCCGCCGCCAGCAGCTTACTTTCAGCATTGTCACCTACGGTTTTCACGTCTAGGGCCTGAACCACAGAGGTTCTGGTGTCCACGGCATCGGCTGCCACTCCATCCTTCTCTGTGGCCTCTGAACCTGCAACCTCAGACTCTATGAGTACCGCTTCTGTGTTCCCGACGCCCATGGAGCCTCCTGCTTGGAGTTTGGTGCCATTTGCTGTGGTCTCTGGATACGTGGTGCCGTTGACCTCCGGGACGCTGGGACCATTCTGGGTGGAGGTCCCCTTGTCCTCCCTCTCGTTTTGTGCTATCTCTTCTCCCCCGTGACCCCCGGTCACCTCCTGCTGTTGCCGCAGTGTGTGCATGGCCTCTGTGTGCTGCCTCCGGAGCTGTTCAAGCTCTGCCCGCAGGAGGTCATACAAGACCAGAGGAACTACCTCAGGCTGACTATCTTCCGCCATCTGCACCTCGTCCTTCTCAAACTCCTCAAGAATCTGGGGGTGGGGAGGCAGGCAGGCTAAGGGGCCTACTCACCATGTTCCCCACCCACCCCAAGGTCCCCAGAGCTGTGCACTGCCTCATTTTCCCTACCTGGACCTTCTCCAGCAGCTCCTGGTTTTGCCTGGTGAGCTGAGCCACCTGCTCCTGCAGGGAAGCCACCAGCTCCTCTGTCGGCGGACGTGCATCAGTTCCTGGCAGGGTCAGGGAGAGCAGGGAACACAAACCATCAGGGACAGGGGTCAGGAGCCATTCAGCACTACCTCAGGCAAGAGCAGGGGTGGGGGATCATGTCTCTGCCCCCCAACCCCTCAGAATCCCATGTGGGCAGCAGTGAGGGGGCCGAAGGGGGCAGAACTCACCTGGGAAGTCGGGCAACTCACCCTCCTCGTCCTGCAGGGTGGCTACATCATAACTGGTGTTCTCTCTCTCATTCTAGAGGTGGAGTTCAAAGTCCACCTTCAGGTCTTGCCCCTCAATACCATTACCTCCCAAAACTGGGATAGTCACATGTCTACACAACACCCTGGAGACACCGGACTGGTTGTGGCTGTATTCACTGAGCATCCAAAATGCCCTTCCATCTTTTACTGAGATGCAAGGGTGGACCAGGGTCTTTGCACACACTAGGCAAGCACTCGCCACTGAGTCACGTTCCCAGCGTGTGGACAAGGCTCTGAGTTTGAATCCCAGCACCTCGCCACTAGAGGATCATCTCAGTGCATGTTTGTGTAATTATTCACTTATAAAGGTGTTTCATTTCTTCTGTGTGTGTCTGCACGGGGATCCACTCATGCTATGGAGCATAGGAGGCAACCAGAGAACAACTTGAGACTTGGTTCTCTCCTTTCACCTTGAGCAGAAGTGAACTCAGGTCAGCATGGCAGGCAACACACCAGTGTATCGGCTGGTCTATCTCAGTGACTCTAACTCTAACTTTGAGCAGCATGAGGTAGGTTTGAGGGGTGTGGCCCATGTGTGACTTTGAGATTTATACATGTGAGGTATGTGGGATTTGTGTGTCAGTGTAGTTGCCATCTTTGCATGTGTGTTTGGAAAGTCTTCATAGGTTTGTGGCCATGACATTATGGATGCAGCGTGGTGCCGGGATAAAGCTCTGACAGGTCAAAAGAGCCACCCAACACTGACTGACATTCCATCCCATTTGCCAAGTTCCGGGGGGCCCATCCTGGCTTCATCCACCCCTGCCCTGGTCTTTCCCATTCCTCTGCTGTGGCCACTGGCCCCAGCCCCTCCCAGCACTGCCTCATACACTCATGATGGCCCACCCTACCCCACCCCTACCCTGTCTTTGTCCTCAGACTTCCCCCTCCCATTCCAGGCTCCAAACCCACCCAGCCGCAGCACCCTACCCCTCCCCTTTACCTCCAGCAGGGACAGGCGGCTCTGCAGACTCTCCACCTCCCAGCCCAGGCTCTCCTTCTCCTCAGGCTCTCCTTCTCCTCCTCCTTTTCCACCAGAAGCTGCTGCAGCTCCTGCACCTGCAGAGGCCAAGATCAGCACTTAAGGATCTGAGGACCCAGGCCCCGAAGTCCCTGGACCCTGAAATCTAGGAGCCTGGGCCCCTCCCAAGCAGTGCCCCACCCAACCTACCTGCCTCTCCAGGCTGTGAACTGAGCTGGCCTCTGCTTCCTGGGGCTGAGGGTAGAAGACGTTGGGGCTGGACAGAGCTAGATAACTACGCAGCACCTAGTGTCTGTCAGCTATGACAATATGCTCTGCACACACTGAGCACTGACTTTGCAACACTCAGCCCGAGCATTCACACTGTTCTCTCTCTCTCTCATTCAAGGGGCTTTGGCCCAGGGCCTGATCCATAGCACACACTGTCCCAGGTCATTCATTTGTTCACTCATTCATTCCTCACCGTGGACCAGTCATTCATCCAGTGTTTATCCACTCTGAGCTTGGCACCTTCACCTGAGTGTGCCCTTAGGGGCGTGCCTTTGAGTGGTGAGCACTTTGGTGGATATGAAGGGAGCTGACAATGAGGCTGTGACTTTAAATAAGGTGAACTGGGGAGATGTCAGTCAGTCGGTAACAATCAGAGAATATGAGGAGGAGAGCCTTGGGGACAGCTGGACAGATGGCAGCTCTCTACTGCAAACACCACGTGCAAAGGCCCTGGGGCAGGACAGAGCCTGGCATGTGGGGAGGCCAGTGAGGGGCCAGGTTTCTGGAGCAGAGGGAGAAGGAAGGGGTTTGGTGTCCCGAGGAAAAGCTCCCCCACACCCAGACCACAGGCCTCGCAGCCTCCAGACCTCCCTTCTCCTCCGTTCCTTGTGCTGTTCCAGGCCCCTGATCTTCTGCAGGAGTCGGCCTCTCTCTTGGCGCAGGCGCACAATCTCCTCATAAGCGTCCTGATCGTCCTGTCCCCTCCCCACCGGTGGAAGTCACTTTCGGTGAGGTATCCAGGGCTATACCATCCTGAGTGTGAGGCAGAGCCCCCTCCCACCCCAGGCTACCCCCATCTCTTACCGGAACAGGCGTGCTGGCTGGAGGCTGGGGTGCCTTCCGCTTCTTGGGGGCCCCTCGCTTTTCATGGCTGGACATGGAGTTCTGGTGTGGGCACAGGGGGACATAGGACACGGGGCCTGGGCCAGGATCCACTCGGGATCCACTGTGGCCAGCCCCCAGTGGTCTGCAGCCTCAGCTGCTCCCTGAATCCTTGCGATGAACCCCAGGTTCACCCCACTCGTCCCGTCCCCACCATTGACTGTGCACCCCTTCCCTAGCTCTATTGTCCTCTACTGCACCCCTTCCTTCTCCCTCTGCTCCAGACACCTGGCCCCTCACTGGCCTCCCCACATGCCAGGCTCTGTCCTGCCCCAGGGCCTTTGCACGTGGTGTTTGCAGTAGAGGGACATTTTCTATCCCTGTGAAGCCTGAGACACAGAAGACCTGGGCCGGGGGTGGGGGCGTGGAAGTGGCCAGGCTCATCTCTTCCTCCGCCTGAATCAGTCCTTAGTAACCACCGTCCAGGCCCGTGTTCCCAGTTTGTAGGAGTGCTGGTATCCACGTGACCACCACTGGGCAGCGGGGACAGAACTGCTGTACTTGTGGGTCTGTCTCTTCTTTGGGGCGGAGTTAGTGAGTGTGTGGACTGTCAGCCCTTCCAGGTTCCTACCTGAGACGAGGCCTCTCCGGAGTCTTCCTCAAGAGAGGCTGGGAGAGAGGGGGAGCAGAGTCAGGGGCCCAGTTCTGTGTTCTCAGCTCCAGAAAGGCCTCTGGTCTCTGCAGCTCCCAAGAGCTAGTGTTTTTTGTTGTTGTTTGGGGCAGAGGTATCACTAAGTAGCCTAGGCTACCCACAAACTCGGCTCTCTCTTCTCTAGTCGCCTGGTTGTGGACCATGAAGCCCAGTCTCTGAAACAGGAACTTTAAGGTAGGAACCCTGGGTGAGGAGGGCCTCATACTCTCAGGGCAGTGGAGTCTGGGGAGGGGACAAAGAGGGTTGTCACCTCTTAGGAAAGGAAGTTTCCATACTAAGGGTGACCCATGAAATCACAGTGGACCTTCAGACCACTCTTAAGTCTTCTGGGGCTCCTTGAAACTGCCCTGAGCTGGGAAAAGGAGAACTTTCATGACCCAGCAGATTGGGTACCTTGAAACCATCAGTAACAAGCAAAGGAGGGGGTGACCAGAAACTGCCTAGAAGGAGTAGGTAGGAAGGGCAGGGCTTGCACACCCACCACTGGCAGGTGAAGGGTGCTGTGCAGACTCCTGGAGAAGCTGCAAGATGAGTTTGTCCCCAGACAGGGCTCCATAGTGAGTGGCGTCCTGGCCCAGCACATCAGTAATGCCCGGCTGGGCTCCACCTTGCAGGAGCACTTCAACTGTCTTGGGGCTGCCCCCCTCACATGCCAGCATCAAGGCTGTCCTGTGGGGGTAAGGGAGCTGCTGAGGAGGCAGAGGCTTGTCCCCAACCCTTTAAACCCTTCTCTACACACAGACCAGGAAGAAATGGAAGAGGCTTCCTAGTTCCCTGACTCAGAGAGGTCCAGATACCTGCTCCAAGTCACACAGCATATGATGGAAAGGTCAGGAAGGGAGGTGCTCACCTGCCTTGCAGATCCTGGTCATTTGCTGAAGCCCCCTGCTGTAGAAGGAGGTGGCACAGATCTGTGTGACACATCTGAGCTGCTATGATGAGGGGCGTGGCACCCGACTGATAGAGAGGATGAGATGGTATGAGTGAGGGCTAACCCTGGAGACTCACTCACGATTTGCAGATGATGCCTGGTGGCTGCCACGGCAAGGATAGCATTGTATCCCGCCCCCCAAGATCCCGTCAGCTCACCCGATCTCGGGGGTTCATGTGTGCCTTGAAAGAGCAGAGCAGCTGTGAGCAGGACAGACAACCACCAGCCGCTGGGAAAGAGGAGACAGAAAACTGGGTGAAAGAGGCAGCTGCCTGCTGTTACACCTTCATGTTTATTGCTAAGACAGGGTCTCAGTCTGCAGCCTGGGCTGGTCTGGAACTCACTCTGCAGCATGGCAGTTAACACCAGTCATGCCAGCAGCTGGGAGGCCCAGGAGGGAGGATGGTTGCACCTTAGGGGTCAACCTGAGCTACAGAATGAGACCATGCCTCAACTAAAACCTCAGGGCTGGAGCAATGGTTCAGTTAGAGCACTGGCTACTGCCACAGAAGACCCGGGTTTGGTTCCCAGCACCCACAAACATCAGCTCACAACCATCTGTAACTTCAGTTCTAGGGGACATGACGCCCCCTTCTGGCTTAGCACAGACATAACATGCAAGCAAAATACTCATCACATTGAAAAAATGTAAATACATTTTTTAAAAAATTTAAAATCAGCCAGGCAGTAGTGCCTTTAATCCCAGCACTCAGGAGGCAGAGGCATGAAGTTCTCTGCGAGTTTGAGGCCAGCCTGGTCTACAGAGTGAGTTCCAGGACAGCCAGAGCTACACAGAGAAACCCTGTGTCAAAAAAACAGCAAAGAAAAAAATTTAAATCAAACAAAAACAACTCTTAGTGGGCCAGGAAGATTACTCAGCTGGTAAAGGTGCTTGCTGCCAAGCCCACTGACCTGAGATCAATCCCCAGAACGCACCTGCTGGGAGAGATAAACCACTCCCAAAAGTCAGCCTCCAACTCCACACAAGCACGTGACACAGATGTCCCTAGCCCCACAATAAACAAATAAATGCAATTTAATTTTTAAGACATCCCCTAGAGTGCCTGTGGGCATGGACACCACCTGAAGATGCCACTCTGACTGGGGACTTAATGACTAACACTCCCAGAGCGACCCCAAGTGTGCTGTCCCCTGGAGCAGGGGGTTGTGTCCAGCGGGGTCTGCAGGCCTGGGCCCTGTCCTCATGGGCACCAGTAATCAGTCCCTTGCTGCTCTGAGGGTGGCGTCTGGACTAGAGAAGCTGCCTGCAAGGCACCCAGGAGACTGGAAAGAATTGTCCACCCACGGGCTAGGCTTTGGGATCCAAGAGATAGGGTTTCCCACTGGGGCATGCGCCTAGCTTCTTTGTACAGTGGGACAAAAGGCCTGGTCCAGACAGTGCCTGTGGCTCAAGCTGAGCCCTGAGCTGCACACCGAACAAGCGCAGCAACTGAAGATGATGGCCCATAACTGTCACCCAGCAACTCGGAGGCTGGTGCAAGGAACCCCCGACTTCAAACCTAGCCTCTACTACACAGAGACTGTATCAAAATATATACGAAGAGGGCTGGGAAGATGCCTCAGTCTGTAAGAGACCTACCTGAGTTTCATCCCCAAAACACACATAAAAGTCAGGTGTGGGGGTGCATGACCCCAGTACCAGGGAGGCAGAGGCAAAAGGATCCAAGGTTTACTCATCATCCAACCTAGCTTAAATTGTGGAGGCCAGGTCCAGAGAGTCCCTGTCTCACGGGAGGCAGAGGACGCCCCGACATAACACTTAGATTGCCTTTTGACTTCCATACGCCATACACATGAACACACATCCATAAAATCTAAGAAAAGATCTGGGGCTGCAGGTCAGAGATAGAGCTCGGCCTAGAATGCCCCAGTGAGGAGCTGGGGGCCTGTTTCACCGGCAGAGAACCTTCCTTGAATTTGGCAGACCCTGGCTGCACCCACCTGCATGATGAAGGGCTGTCCACCCACTGTTGTCCTCGATGTCCACCACACAGGAAGCCTGGGAAGTGACAGGTGACATCATCTGTATTTCCTGAGTGACTGTTCCCTTGGGCTCTGCTGTATCTCAGGCTTGTTTCTGCCTGTTATGGCCTTGGCTTCTGTGTGTGTGCATGTTGGTACTTGGCACAGCATGTTGCCAAGAATGGAAGACAACCTATGGGAGTCTGTTCTTTCCTTCCATGTAGTTCCCAGAGAACAAAATCAGGTCACTAAGCTTGGGGCAAGCACTTCTACCTGGTGAGGCATCTCACTGGCCCACAAATTCATTATTTTTAAGATCTATTTTAAGTGTGTGTGTGTGTGTGTGTGTGTGTGTGTGTGTGTGTACGTACATGAGTACCTGAGGAAGCCAGAAGGGGGATGTCTAGGTTTCCCTGGGATCTGGAGTTACAGATGGTTGTGAACCTCCATGTGAGTTCTGGGAACCCTGGTTCTCTATGAGACCAGCTAGTGCTCTGAGCAACCTCTCCAGACCCTCTGGCTTTCTTTCCCCTTCCCCATCTTCCTACCCTGAGAACACATCTTCCAGCCCCCCCAGGTGACCCTACTTGGATGACAGTAACAGAAGGGGCAGAGCTGGGGGACCGGGAGCATCTGGGGTTTGGGGAAGTAACTGGAGTTCCATATGAACAGAGAATGGGCATCAGAACCTCCAAGAGTTGCTTCAGGCACTCAGGGTGCCCATACTTGGCTGCCAGGTGAAGGGCACTGTAACCTGAGGAAAGAAGAGATGGGAGTGTCCTCCAGGTGTGCTCAGCCCCCTCCCAAGCCTGAACTTCCAAACTCAGCTACTTCTTAAAACCAGCTGCTCTCACAGACCTTTTTGTGAAGTCTGTTGTCTTTCCATACAGGGTCTTATTGTGTAGCCCCGGATGACCTGGAACTCACAAGGATCCACCTGCCTCTGCCACCCAGATGCTGGGATTAAAGGGTAAGTCTCATATAGGCCACGCTGGCCTCTGGTTCATACAGAGCTGAGGATCACTTGAACTCCTGATGCTTATGCCTCCACACAGTGCTGGGATGACAGGTGTGTGCCAGGGTGCGGAGGATGGACCCCGGGGCTTCCCTCGTACTTTCTGAGTGTCTCCCCACTGAGCTACAACCTCAGTGTGAGATCCTACAGTTGGCCCTGTGGTCCCTGCTCTGGACAGCTGATATAGTCCACCCAGGGGCACTCCGGGAAGTACCTGCTCCATCTGTACTCATGATGTCTGCGCCTTGAGCCAGCATCACCTCCAGACAGCCCGCTGCACCCCTCATGGCAGCTAAGTGGAACCTAAAGGCATGAGTTAGGGGTCATTCCCAGAAGGGTGTCCAAAGCCACCCGGGTCCCAGGGCTTGGGCACTCACGCAGACTTGCCCTCGGGGTCCAGTTTTGTGGGCACCAGCCCCTTATGGGTGATCAACGAGGCCACTCTGGCCACATCGTTGTTCTCCACGGCCTGGAGCAGGCGCTGGTCACTTTTGCCCCAGTCTTGGCCCTGCAGAGGCACATCCAGAGGCGCAAGGGACTGAATAGATCCCTGTCCCCTCCCCACCAAGCAACAGGGGCAGTTGCTCGGGTTCTCACCCACCCACTCCTGGGCACTTGCCTGGCGCCTGCCTCTTGCTGCGGGTTTCGGGATAGGGCATGGACCACAGGGCGGGCAGGAGCCGAGGTCGGTAGGGCTGAGCCGGAGCTGTGGGGTAGGTAGTCCTGGCTGGGGGCCTCTGAAACCTGCATCCCCCAGCATGTGTCTGCAGGCCCACTACCATGGTGTCTTCCAAATGCCAGTCCTCAAACCACCTCCCTCATTCTGACTTAAGCCAAGGCCAGTTTTATAAGACAGCGCCCCATCTTTTGGGGGGGTGGGGGAGACAGCAGCTGTCTGTGTAGATCAGGCCAGCTGCCTCTGCCCCCAAAGTTCTGGGATTAAAGGCGAGTTTGGGGGGATTTTTTGAGGGAGGATCCGGTGTCGTGTAGCCCAGGCTGGCTTCAAAATCCCTGTGAGCCAAGGATGACCTTCAATTCCTGATCTTCCTGCCTCCCCCTCCCCGGGCTGGGGTGACAAGTGTGAGTCACCACACCTGGTTTACTAGTGTTGGGGAGAGAAGCGCGGCCTTTGTGGGTGTAAGCTTGACACGTTGGCCATCGCCCCGCCCCTCGTCCACAATTATTTTACTGTCCTTCAGTTTTTTGACACTAAGTCCCACTATGTGGTCAGGCTAGCCTCAAATTAAATTCCCCTGTCTCAGTCTCCAAATGCTGGAGTGACCGGCCTTTCCCAAAACAGTCTCCAGTGCCGCTGGACCCCCACGCCCACCGGCCCTGCGCTTCACAGCTGCTCTGCCAAGGTCCCATCGTCCCCGTCCCCTCTTAATGTCCCCTCTCAGCATTAAGGCTTGGCCGCCAGAGCTGCAACCGCAGATATTCCCAAACTTCCTGCCCAGGAGCATGGACTGTTCCCAAGTCACTGTCCTTAGTGTCCTACAAGACCTGCACCCCGCAACGCCCGGCTGACCCTGCGCCGGCACAGAGGCCCTCGGCGCAGCCCTCCACGTCCCTCCCGCGCCCCGTAGCTGCCCCGCTCCCTGCCCGGGCAGAGCATCTTCCCGGGAAGGAGGGGAAGGCGCAGTGGGACCCAAACGCCTACCGTGAAGGAGGCGGCAGCGCATAGGCACAGCTGCTTCATGGCAAAAGGGTGGGGCCAGGGCCAGACAAGACCAAGCCAACGTCCCCTAGACTCACGGCCCCGCCCTCCTCCTCAGGCTCAGACTCCGCCCGGCTCTGCCCCACCCCTGCCTGGCAGGTAGCCCATCATTCATTCGTCCATCATCTCCCAGTCGTCTACTCATTCATTCGTACACTCAGGTCTATCTTTTCATTCATTCGTTCACACATTCATTCTCTGGTTAATTTCCTCACCCCATTGACTAACCCATCTTTCCACTGGCTCGCTCATCCGTTCACGCACTCACTCCTCTGGCCCACCCGTCCATGCATCCACACTCTCATCCCTTGCGCCCCTCCAGCGGCTCTCACTCTGAACTTGAACCCGTGCCTGCCCCGCCCATTTCCACCTACGGGCTGACCTCACCTGCTGGGGCCTCCGCCCTCCTCACTTACGCAGTGGGTTTCACTTAGACCTGCCAGACACAGCTCTGGAGGGCCCTGCTGAGCCGGACGCACCGACCGTCACAGGCCTGGTACACAGTGAGGACACAGTAAAAGCTGCGCCTCACTCACCCAACCCAGATCACCTGAAAGAGAGGGTGCAGCCCGCGTTTCTGTCCCCAGGGTCTGTGGGCACCGGTCCCGCCCTGGCCGGAATTAGAGCCCTCCGCGAAGGACCCACAGAGGCCTCCCACGCCTGCCGCTGGGGGAGGGATCTGGACACCACGTTGCAGTCCTGGGCAAAGGCTCTCCTGATCAGCCTTTATTGAGTGACTGCTGGATGCCTCGGAAACTCAGAGCCAAGGCAAACTCTTTCCGGCTCTGGCTTCTGTGCATGCAGCTGGCACTATAGAAGGTGTCCTGGGGACAGGGCAGCAGACAGTGACACACGACAGATACTGTGTGATGTGGAGTTCCCAGACAGGCAGAACTTGGAGTGAAGTGAGGAGCTCACCCTTATACAGTTACCAATGTGGTTTCCCTAACCAGCAAGTCCTGCCTCCCTGTCCCTCAACACTCTGGGCACTGGGCCAGTATGTCATTCTCAATGGAGAGTCCTGGCACATGCGTGCACGCCCCCCCACACATGCACACACACATGCCAACAGAGAGAGGCACAGAGACAGACAGACTGACTGACTGAGTAACTACTAAGCTAGGCATGGTGGCACACGCCTTCAATCCCAGGACTCGGGAAGCAGAGGCAGGCAAGGCTAGTCTGGGCTACAAGGACAGCAACAACAAATCTTTACAAGCCTCCGTCATTGCCCTGGAGGAATTTTTCTCAAATAAGATCAGGTCAGCGAGGAGGGGCCCAGATAAGGTAATTTCCATTCTGGACAAGAGAAACCAATGCCCAGAGCCCACTGTGCCCCTGCTGGGGCCTGGTACGACAGCGTGGGGACACCTGTTGGGAGCCTGATGTTTTCCCATCCCAGGAGGGGACCCAGAAGCCCAGGGCACCAGGGAGGCCTCTACAGCAGCCAAGGTGTTCACATTCTTCCCTGGGGCTGCCATAACAAAGCGGAGCTTCACTCTGGCTGCTGCAGGGAAACCAGAGAAGGGCGGGCGGGGGCAGGACAAGTCTCCCATCTGCTGCCCAAGCTGGCCCCACGCCCCCGCCTCTCCCACCCCAACACTGCCCCTTCAGTGCCCCACAGAAACACACCCGCATCCCATCCCAAGCTAGGTGCTTCTCATCAGGGGTGGGCTGCAAGATTTCGAAATAATTCAGCTTTTAAAATAGGCAGGTCTTTTTCCCACACAGGTTTCTCTGTAGTCCTGTCTTGGAACTCACTCTATAGACCAGGCTGGCCTCGAACTCACAGAGATCCACCTGCCTCTGCCTCCCAAGTGCTGGGAATAAGGGCGTGCACTATCACAGCTGGTCTAATTCGGCTTTTCAGAAAGTATTTTTTCCTCTGATTTAAAAAACTACATTTCCATGGGTACGTGCACAGGTGCACCGAGGCAGAGGTCAGAGGACAACTTTGAGAACTCATTTTCCTCCTTTCACCAGTGGATTCTGGGAATCAAATTCAGGAGAGATACTCAGCGGTTAGCACACCGGCTGCCTCTGAAGAGGACCCAGCATCCATACGGAGCTTACAACCGCCTGTGACTCCCGTTATGGGGACCCGACGCCCCCTCCCAGCCTCCGCCGGTGTGCGCGAACATGGATGCAGGCAACACATACAGAAAACGCTTAGCTGCAAGCACCTTTCCCCACTGAGCTATCTTGCCGGTCCATGACTCGGCTTTTGCAGTGACTGGATTTCAACTGGCTGTGATTCTCAGGGGTTCTGTGAGTTGGAAAATATTAGGGGGCCAGTCCAGCCTTACTGTGTAGGAAAGTGACTGCTCTCGCGCTCTCTCTGTCTCTGTCTCTGTTTCTCTCCAAGCCCTTCCATTCCCATTCCCCCGTGCAGGTCACATCCACAGATGCCCAGCCCCCATAGGAGGCAGGACCCTTCGGAGCTGTGTGACTTTGTGCAGCCTCCACACCGTCTCTAAGCCTCCCTTCATCTCCCAAATGCAGACAATATAAATTCATTCCTTGACGAACCCGTGTGAGGGTGACACGGAGGTCGTGGAGCAGAGAATTGCTAGATTCAGAGGGATTCAAATGAAAGCAGGAGTGGGAAAGCAGAGCTGGGCCACCAGAGGGAGTCAGTGGGCCCATGTGCAGGGTTAGCATTCTGCTAGCACAAAAAGAACTGGTCCATGAAGCTGCTAGGGCAGCTACTAGGGGCCTGGGTGGTGGAGGGAGCTAAAGGCAGAGCCCTGGGCTCTGAGCTACGATGGCAGTTTGAGAATGAGGTGGGGATGAGGGCTTGTGCCCTCTCCCAGGCCTGCAGACTCACCTCTGTCTTCTTGAACCTTGCCCGGAGGGTCTTCATCAAGCCAGCTGGGGACTCTGGTCCTGTCTCTGGGGAAGGGATGGGTGGAGTGAGCCAGCGTGCTGGGGGGGTCAGTCATAGCATCCTGCACAGCACAGCCTCTGTTCTCCCACACTGCCAGTCCCTCTCTGCTGTGTGTCCCTGAGAAGGTGAGTTGCCCTGTCTGAGGAAACTGTCCCCAACTGTAAACAGAGGAGCTAATCCTTCACCCAACAGCACAGTCCCCAGAAGGGGCTGATGGACAGTAACAGGCATCACCACGACCCCATTAGCTCAAGCACCTCACACAGCTCTGCAATCTTGTTCTTGTGCAATCACTGATGCTAAGACCCACCCTCCTTCTCTGTAGAACTAACCCTAAAAACCCCAGGTGCTGATCAGTGTTGTCTCCCAGACAGAATGAAGTATATCTCCCCAGTTGGAACTACTTCCATTTTCCCCAGCGGGGGCACTTCCTCTGTCTTTAATCTGGCTTATAAGCAAGCCCCAGCCACTAGACTGCATCCAGGGTTGCCAGTAACAAACTTTTTACTTACTGGGGTTGAGGGAAGGAGACACCTGACAATCAGCCCCTTGTAGGAAGGCCAGTCACGTTTCTGACTACTCTCAATGAGCA